CTTAGTAAATGTTCAGCAGGTGTGAGCTATTTTTATAGGTGTCAGCTCAAGTAATACTTGCGCAAGGAACTCAGCGATCCCAGACGTCGCTAACCAGACTAGATCCCCTCTTATTTGCCCTCATAGCCTTGAGTCCTTCCACTTCGAGGTATTTGTTAAAATCGCATCTTCATACTTTCCCAAGTAATTTATGTCAGTCTCCACTCCTCTCTAATCCATAGCCCTATGAGGGCGGAGTTCAGTTTTGTTTTCTTATTTAAGAGTGTACCTGGCACATGGTAGGCAGGTATCCAAGAATGGATGGATGGATGGACGGATGGATGGATGGATGGATGGATGATAGATGTGTTTGTGGCAGTTATCGGTGGCAGGTTCCTGCGTGCCTCCTTGCTTCTAAACTCCCCATTTCTTGCCTTTCAGTCTGTTCTGTCTTTTTATTTCTTCACGCCCCCTTATTGCATATTAGTCCTGCCACTGGCAATCAGAGGCATTACTTATCTACGCCAAAAAGGGCTGATGAGATTTCTTCAGGCACTTATTGAGCACTGACTGTATGCTGCACATAGTGCTAGGAATGAGAAAAAAATGAATGACGGGACCCTTGTTCTCATGCAGTTCACAGTTTGGCTGGGGGAGACAGACACATTAAAGTTGGCTAGAATAGAATACCACGGGTGTCATGGTAATGCTAAGCACTGGGCTTTACAGAAACTGAGGAGAGACATGTCCTGGATATGAGAAGGAGGGGTGGAGAAGGTTTACAGGTAGAGGGGATCATTGAGCTATGTCTTAAAGGTAAGTAGGGATTGGACTGGGTGATGCGCTCAGCAGAGGCAAGAAACAACATTCACTACTGGGGAACTGGTTCTACTGAGCTTGCTATGGGGAGAGTGTAACGTTCTAACTTCTCTCCCACAGGACAGTCTGTCTGCAGAGGCCAGCCTTATACTGAATTGAATGGCGGCCATTTATAGTTTATGTATTTCCCTCCAGGTCCTGACTTACGGTGGCGTTGGTGCCCCCTTGTGGAAGTAATGAGGGGTGATGAGCCGGTATTAGCACACTGTGGGTCAGGGAAACCACCCAGTGTGCTTATTTACCATGACTTACTGGTGAAACATTTGTGTACGACAAACACAAACTCCTCTTGAGCTTCACTTAAAAGGACTTAAAGCTCTTTCTGCTTAATTACACATTCTTGCTTTTCCAGGAGCTGTTGCTTTTACTCTCACCGTTTAGAGGATCATAACTCTTGTTTATATTATGAATTTGTGTGTGTGTACATATATATGCATATAAATACGTATGTATTGGGGCTAAAAATGCAATGAACTAATTTTTTAATAGGTTTGGGTATTAGTGATCCCTGTTTAAAAAAACACACTTCTAGAGCTGAATCTTCAAAGATCAAGCAAGAGGAATCTAAATGAAAAACTGAAGCTTCAACCATAGGTAGCACTTTAGAAGGATCTTCAAGAGCACCTGAAATGGAGAAGGGTTGTCTTCGCTTCTTTACTCCTGACACGTATGCAGTGGCTCATCCCTGACATCTCACAAAGAGCGTTTTCCTTCAAAATTAGGAATTCTTCTAGGACAGACCCCATCTCTTCTTATCTCTGTAGTATTAGCGCCTAGCTCGATGCCTGACCCATAAATACAGACACCAATTTTTAGTTTCAGTTATTCTTTAATTAGTTATGAAGTCATGTGATATCCAGGGATTCCAAACTAATCCTCAATATTTATAAAATCTTAAGAGAAATTAAACATTTACCCTGATATAGTGTACTGGCCGAAGTATTTACTTTTGACTGGGATTAAATCAACACAGTGGTTAAAAAACAAAACATAACAAAAACTGCTGATCTTGTGCTGCCCATAAACTTTCACTGGCAGTCACACATGTCAGTTATTAGCAAATATAGGGAAATTAATTATTAAGTATAGCTAATCCGGATGAGTAAAATTCTCTAAAATTTGGGGCTTATAGGGAATTAGTAATAAAAGAATTTCTCGGTGAAAAGGTTGGTTACCCCTAACTCGGGGATCTCTAAAGTCTTTTCCAGTTCTCTGATTTTTTAACTTGCTTTTGATTTTTAGTGAGAAAAAAAAAATTGGAAGTACAAAAGGGTGTTTTAAAAAGTTTCTTTTTAAAATTTATAAATACTTCTGATTTTTTATTCACCTGATCAGTAGCTGCCATTTGCCCTCAAATCAGCCACCAATCCTAAGATTTTTCCTTGTTTATTCTGTGACTTCACAGGTATGATTGACGATCTGCTGTCCCCAGGTCTTATCGATGCTGTTCTCACCAGACTGGTCCTTGTCAATGCAGTGTATTTTAAGGGTTTGTGGAAATCACGATTTCAACCTGAGAACACAAAGAAACGTACATTCATGGCAGCTAATGGGAATTCCTCTCAAGTGCCAATGCTGGCCCAGCTTTCTGTGTTCCGGTGCGGTAAGTTCATGCTTGGTGAGGCTTGATCTAGAATGTGCCATTGGCAGAAAGGCCCTTGAGTACTTTAACTTAATTCAAGAGCAAATCTGACTTTTTATTTTTTAAAAAAGTAAAGAGCAGGGCAGGGATCTGGGAGGTGGGATTTTTTAAAATGGTAAGTCTGTATTATGTACAAAGGTTATGTATTAATACAAAACACATGTGGATTTTTGGTTGAAATCTTAAAGATGAAAGGACAGCTCATAAAATGAGAAGTATAAACAGGCATTAGACATGTGAAAGCATTATCAACTTATCATTAGCAATCTTGCATTACCAAATTAAAAATAAAAGTAAAAATGAGATCTCTTTTTTACTTATCAGGGTAGAAAAAATTAGAAAGATTGGTAAAAACTCATTGTGGCTCTGGTGTGGGGGGATGCAGGCCTTTTGATCACTTTTGGTGGCGGGGATCTGTGATCTGAAGGACCTCCTCAGAGTCCTTGCCCCAGCATTCCCACTCCAGGGAATTTATACCCCAAAGATAATCACACACTAGCAAGTAAATAGAAGCCAGGTACAGATATATAGAACACATGATCATTAGATTTAGATTTATATAAGTAGAGAGATTTTACAATGCAGCTGTTCCTCAACTTACAATGGGGTTACGTCCTGATTAACCCATAGTAAAGTCAAAAATTCTAAGTCAGGGACTGTCTGCATATGATTGATTTCAGAAAACAAGTTATAGAATAGCACATGCCAATTAATGTCACTTTTATATTCATACATCTATAGAGATAGGTCTTGGAGGATGTTCAGTAAAAATGTTAATAGTGGTAGGATTGCAAATAAATTATTTTTCTTTATTTGAATTTGAATTTTTTTTTTTTTTAATGAGCATGTATCAGTTTTAGCCAGAGAAGAAAAATGACCAGCTTCTGTTATCATTACCTCAGCATAGGATACTAAGTCTGGTTATTATCTTTTAAATCTATCTTCATTAGAGCACTCTTGGTCCAGTTTAAATTAATCCTCCCCCCCCCCCCC